GACACTCCAAAGCAAGTCCTTGACATCACAAGAAGAAACATGGTATAATTCAAATCTTATTTCTTAGCTTCTATCTAGGACTGAACGTGCAGCTGACGAAATGCTAAATGGAATGTTAACTAAAAGGAAAAACATTGGGGAATTCTCTTCTGAGTCCTTTGGGAACTAAGGAAACATTAACTTTGAAAGGGCCTTAAGGACCCTTTCATTCTAACCCAGGATCCCTCCCTGGCCCAATCCTGTCTTTACCTCCCTTTCAGTCTATTCTATAATGGAAGACTTTTAAAAGTCATTCAGATCAATGGCATCTACCAAGCAGTCCAGGAAATAAACAGAGCATACCTTCAAATGAGGTCCCACATAAAATACAAGCATTACATAAAGTTAAGAAATACACAGAACACTCTAAAAGAAAATTAATACAGATTTTACAGGGGTTTTTGTTTGTTTGTTTGTTTGTTTGGTTGGTTGGTTGGTTGGTTGGTTGGTTGGTTGGTTGGTTGATACAAGAGTCAGCCTGAAACTCCACTAGGTAGACCAGACTGACCTTGAATTCATAGAGATCCATCTATCTATTCTTCCCAGGTGCTGAAGTTAAAGCAATGTGCCACCATGCCCAGCCCCAGTACAAGATTATTTTCATGATCTAGCCAATAACCCAATAATAGTAAAAAAAAAATCTTGAGCCTAGCATCTCGTGTAACTAATTTAGAGAGCTCTGGAGATGAAAAAATGTTACAAATTTGCCATTAGTTTTACATTATTTTTTTTCTTGATTCTAGAAATCTATAACCAACTTAGGAGTTCTACCATGGTAGCCGACACTAACACAGACATAATTAAACTGGCAATGAAGGTAGAATGGGGAAGATATACTATACTTTTTGTTGTAGTGGCTCAGGACTGATGCCAGACCTCATCTAGCCCATTCTACACACTCTTTAAACTGAACATGATCCCTTGGCATTTCGAGTCAAATCTCTCATTAGTCTTCTGTGTTAGGTGATGAAGAGGGTTATTGGAAACTTCCTACTAGTCCAGAAGTCAACAAGGCAAGGTGGGGGCAGGGGAAGGGACAACTTCGGGGACATGGGAAGCCAATAATTGCCCCATTCTCATCACATTCTACAGAACAGATCACTTCCTCACCATGGTCTCCCAAAGTTCAGTGTCAGAGTTGGAAAAAATGGAAGGTTGCTTCAAAAACGATCAGCAGAAATGCAGATGTGGTGGTTGATATTTATGATAATAGGCTTTATGTTATCCTAATTCTTTATAAGCTTGTTATAGAATAATGGTTCCCCCTGCCTGAAGTCCGGTACTGACTACACGGCCTGAGACACCATGTCTTTGCTCCTGTGATAGAACTTTTAACTAAATTATCTCTCAAACTTATTTTGGCTGCAACATTTTATTACTCTGTGGAAGTCTTTTTGCTGAGCCTTAGCTATGTGCTTCAAAAACTAGAGCACAATAAATCTAACATCTTTTGTTATTACTTGCTAAATCTCTTTCCCCGGGGTCCTTCTTACATGATGGAATTTGAAATTCTTCAGTTTATCCATGTGCTTATTATATATACTAACTCTTTAAGCTCAACTATAAAACCAAATGCTAGCATTAAAAACAAAAAGGATCACTTTCCTTTAATATTTTCACAGAAAAATATTTAGCTGCATAGATACAATTAAAAGACACATCATAGCATAGAATAGGCTTCCTATAAAGGTCTGTGCCCTGAATGTGAAAGGAGGAACAATGTGAGATACGGACACTAGAATTCTAGGAGGAGAAAGAGGGAAGAAATGAAGGCAATAATGAGACTGCTCATCTTCAGACAACACAGGAACTGGACTTTAAAGGTGAATCACTAGAACAGACACGGAAGCACTCAGGCGTATCCCAAGCATGTGGAAGCTGAGGCAGGATGATCCGAGTTCAGAACCAGCCCGAACGACAGAGTGAAATCACCACCACCACCCCACCCCCAAGCATTCCCCATAAAAATCACTAAAACAACATCATTTGAAAAATACAAACTCAAAAATCAGCGTTGTGTCGTTTTCCTTACCATAGCAGATCCTCCAGACAGTAAAGGCCCTTATTATATGAATACATGCTTCCCAGCTCCCTTCTCTACCTTGCAATAGAACACAGATATCAACAGGTAATCCCTCACTGACAGCCATGTCCTCGACCCCTCTACCTCTGCTATGTGCACTATTTTCTGGTCTACAGTTACCAAAAAGCCCAAATGGTCAACATTTCTGAGTAGCTCGTGTTCCATAGGCAATAAGCTATTTTGCTCAGTTTCTCCATTGGATAAGATGCTGCTTTCATACTAGATTAAATAATTGGAGATGCCCACTCTCAGCAGTTCTTGTTTGGTGACAGCAGTGAGTTATTTTTATTTAAGTAAAAATATCCATTTTAGAGACAATAGCCACTTCACTAGATGTCAACTCAAAATTGTGGCATATAAGAATTAGAAAATGAGTACACACCTTTTATCATAACCCTCGGAAGCAGAGGGTCTCTATGAGTTTGACGCCAGATTGAGTTCAAGGACAGCTGGAACTACATGGTAAGACTCTGTCTTTAAAAAAACAAAACAAAAAGAATTAGGAAATGTAGGAGCTGGAAAGATGGCTTTGTTAACAAAGTACCTGCCTGTAACACAAGGTCCCAAGTTCAAATCCCTTTTGCTTACATAAAAGCTGCAGCAGTGACCCATGTGGGTAACCCCAGCCCTAGCAGGAGGAGAAAACAAGCAGATCTCAGATGCTCGCCAGCCAGCCAGTCTAGCTGAAACAGGGAGCCCCAGTGAGACCCCTGTCTCAAAAAGACAATGTAGAGTGCACTAGAGGAAGATGCTGCTGACTTCTGACCTCCTCCACACAGACATGTACAAGGGAGCAAGCACACAGGTATATACGGACACGGACACACACACACACACACACACACACATACACATACACACACACACACACACACACACACACACACACACCTGTGATCTCTGAGAATTAGGAAGTATAAAGGGTGGTTTTATGAAGAACCTGTACAGACTAAGGACCCCACAAGGACAATGGCTCAAAATGTAAATAAGTTGAATGTGTCTGGATGCTTTTGCTTAGCTAGGAGCAAGCATGGGAGTTGAATGCGTTTAGAAGTCTTTCGGTTGTCTCAGTAATAACAGCCCACGCCTTCCAGGCCCACCCGGGCTGCTGGCTGCAGACAGCAGAGTGGAACTCAGCCCCTTGAGGTCTCTGTTCTCCCTCCAGGCCCTGGCCCCTTCTCTGGAAAATTTTGTCAGCCTTAAGGCTCAGTAGGTGACTTTTATCGTTCACTGGTGATATGTGGCTGACTTTGAGCAGTCACGTTCTGTCTGATTATGTGAGGCTCTACACATCCCTACCAGAGGGAAGTGTGAATTAACTACAGGCTTGACTAAATCTCCCTCCTTGACTCCCATGCTGCCCCTTTTCAGTGGCCTGGCCCCTAGCCAAGTCCTATGGGGCAGCTGACTGCCAAAGCCAGGTCCCCAAGAGCTAGAGAATGTGAGGCAAATTCAGCGTCCAAATTATTTCATTGTAAAAGCAAGTCAGAAACAGATAGAAACGTGTCGCCATTTGAACTTCACCAGGACTGAGGTTCTCATGCACGGTGACCAGTGCTCACCTCTGAGGTGTGAAAGCACACAGACGTTTTCTCTCCCAGATGCGAGATTCTCCCCAAAATATTGAACTGACCTTTTTTGTTTTAAGCAGTAAGAGTGGAATACCTTTGATGGAACAGGACAACAAACGCAATCACACAGCTCCACATGAGAAACACCACCCTGCCCAGATGCCACCGACTCCCCCAAAGCCTGTGTGCGGCTTAGCCGGAGAGTGTGTACGGAGCCACAGTGAGGCCCTGGCCCTAATCCTCAACTTAAAGGACACCATCTCAGACAGTCAGGGTAACGAAATCATTTACCTTTCATGATTTTATCCTGTCGCCTTGTTTTCTCTGAACTACAGTTGGCCCAAGGCCTGGTATATGCGGAGCCAGTAGTCTACTACTGAGAGACAGTCCCGGGCTTCTTTGTGGGCTTCTTTGTGCTTCTTTAACACACTGCAAGATCTATTTTTTATTATGTATGTGTGGGCATGTCCATGGGTATGCCCACATGTGTGGGGGTGCCCTTGAAGTTCAGAGGGTGGCATTACCTAGAGTCACAGGCATTTAGGAGCCATCCCATGTGGGTGTTGGGAACTGCACCTGACGCCTATGTGTGGCTCTAACCACTGAGCCCTTTCTCAAGCTCTTCTTGTGTTCTTTCGCTTTAAGACAGGGCCTCACTGAATGCCCAAGCTGACCTTGACTTCACTGCAGTTTAGGCAAGTCTTGAATTTGCCGTCCTCCTGCCTCTACATCCCAGGTATGTGAACCACCAGCTTCCCCTCCCAGTTCCAATACTCTTCTTTCTGTGAGTAAAGGCTAGGAAACATCTCTTCTCATGCAAAGGATAAAAGATAGAGCTTTTTAATTTTTAGATAATAATACTTGTTAAAAATATGAGTTAAGTCCTTGAGCAAATATATCAAAAAATATCTTTCCTTCTCAAGTTCAAAGCCGACCTTAAAAAATACGGAATCACTGGGGGTCTGTCACTTGTATTTGAAGTCTGGTGACTTCAACAAATAGTCATAGTTAAACAAAGCCAGCTCCAAAGGAAGAAATCTATTCCTAGGTGGTTATAGTCTCAACACTGGAAAGGCTGATGCTGTAAAGAGATGCCTTTTCCTTGCCAGCAGCTGTGGTTTGTCCCCCGCCAGTCGCCTGGGCTCTGCCGCATTGTAGTCCCCAAATAACACACAAGACGCTGTATTAGTTATGAAGCTGTTGGCCTTGCTTGTTTCTTACTGGCTAGCTCTGACTTAAGTATTTAACCCATCTAAGTATTTCTCTTACCGGACGGACATCTTACTTCTCTGGCGGGCTACATGATGACTCCCTGTGTTTCTCCTTCCCAGAATTCTGCTTGACTCCTAGTCCCACCTATCTTGCTTCCCTATTGGCCAACAGTGCTTTATTGACATATACACAGGAGTTCCCCATCACTGATGCAGAAGAAAGACCAGCCTGGGCTGCCTATAGAGAACTTATGTCTAAAGAAAAGAAGAAAGCATGTCTTCCATTGCCTGTATCAATTCAAGGTGCATAGTGGCAGACTGCAGGTCCCCCGTGGGTTTTGTCACACCGCCTCCCTCTAGTTCCTTAGACTATAGACACAACACACAAGCATCCTTCAATTGTCTTCATGTGCAGGCATCAATGGGCAGTCATCTTTTCAAAATTAGGGTGTGTATTTCATTCCCATCATCTTTCAAAAATACCTGGAATCCAATAAAAATTGATAGATGTCATTGAAATGCTTCCCTCACTAATATAACCATTCTTGAAATCCAAGAAAAATTAATAGATGTAGTTGGGGTTCCCTTCACTAATATAGCCATTCCAGAAATACTGGGTAGAAAAGAAAACCTCACTAAATATATGAAAAAACAATGCCACTCCCAAACCTTGCACCCAGCTGCAGAATTCATCAACCTGCAAATCCTTCCAAACTATGCCTTCAAAGTCAGGTTCCATAGAAAGTCCACAAAGCAATGTTAACCAGGGGAAATCCTCTGTCCATTTCATTCCTGTGATGGGATTGTGTTTAGACCATCCCCCAGTAGATGGCCAGCTCCTGCCTTTCCTGATACCAAAACCAGTCTCCTGCAACCTGGAGTCTCAGTCGCTCCTGGGAGCCTGGTCCTGAAGCTTGGGTGGAACTAGCCACTGCTTAAATCTTAGCTTTACATTCAGCAAGCCAGCATTCGCATTTTAGCATAGTGCCCCTGGAGCTAAAGCTGCAATGCATTTCACATTTTTTCTAAGCTAAAGCAATAATCCATTTCATGTTTTTCTAAGCTAAAGCAGTAATCCATTTCACGTTTTTCTGTATGCATCAGAACCACTTAGCAGAACGGAGAAGTTGAGTTATTTTATTTTCAATTTCCTCAAGAAATAAATGAATTTATGCCTAAAACACTAGTAAAATTCTACATTTTTAAATTACTGCTGCAAAACCTGACTGACAAAACTAGGGATGATTTTCTCAGCCTTCTGGGCTGTTGAGTTTTTTTTTAGGAGGCACGTGTGTCTTTTTGAGGTCATTCTTAGGTAATAAATGAATATTGTCAGAAATGAATATGTACTGTAGTCTTAATAAATAAATTTTATGAAAGGATATTTAATTATTATTGTCTAAGTTTTGTACATGAAATCATTGAAAGTAATAAGATTACTCTCCCATGTTCTCAAAAACAATAGAAAAAAGAGAATACCATCTGGAAGACTTATGCAAAGTCCTGTCCACCTTCTTTCAAAATAGAAAAGAAACAAACTAATCTTTATTTAGTAGTAAAAATGCACTAAACCTGAGCTTTAATCCCAGCACTCAGGAGGCAAAGACAAGCAGATCTCTGTGAGTTCAAGGTCAGCCTGGTCTACAAAGCGAGTTCCAGGACAGCCAGAGCTACACAAAAAACAAAAACATAAAGTAACTGACAAAAAGGTATCTGACTTTTGCAGCATTTGAATTCAAGTTCACCAAGCTCCAAGAGGATGCATGCTATGTCCTCTGTGACATGCTATCACAGGTGTGGTAGAGCCAACAAAAAGTAATAATGTAAAGAGCCATTTTTTAAAAGCAAGTTGAAAAGATCTATGGTGGGAGAAAAAAACTATTACATTTTAAACTAAACCTCGGGTAAGATAGAAAGAAAGAGATTTACAGGGTCTCTGCCCTCATTATCTAACAAACAAACAAAAATAAAGAACTCCCAATTTACCCAGAAAGAGAAATAACTCACAGAAACCAAACCTCCTACAGTTAATGCCATTTTCCTATAACTGTTTCTTACAGGGGCCTGTTTATAGAACCAGGTACAGGAGAACCAAATAACGTGCTGTTAGAAAAATAAATAAATAAATAATGGTTCTAATTTCCTCAAGTCGCTAGGTTTCCATTGTCTGTTTTTGGTTTTGTTTTGTGTTGTTTGTTTGTTTTGCAGTTCTTTAGAATAGAATCTCACCAGGTTTCCCAGGCTCGCCTCAAACTCAGACTCGACCAGAGTTATCTGGTGATTAACTTATATCCTTCTTTCCCATCACGAATTCATAAGCAAAATACTTTCTTGACAGCAAGTGGGGGAAAGCCTATTGGTCAGACAGGTCATTCTTTAAGTGGCTTAGCCCAGCTGCCAGTTAACACTCACTTACTGAGTGACCGTGTGTCCTGGACTATGCTAGGAACAGGGGAATTCACTGGGTCAGGGTTCTCTGGTGCAAGAAACATAGCAGTCAGGGTAACACGAACAATAAAAGATCCAGAGACTGATACTGGGGTAAGTTCAGAAAAGCAAAGCAGCCGGCCACTAGCTCTCACCTCAAGCTCAGGCTGAAAGGGTTGATCCAAACACAAGCTCTCACCAAGCCCCAAACTGTAACTTCTCCTCAGCATGTCTGGAGAATGAATGCCTGATACTTCAGTGTGGCTGGAGAATGAATGCCTCCCAGTGAATACTGAAGACCCTGCTTCTATCTTTCACAGCCCTCTAGTGCTGGGATTAAAGGCATGTTATCTGTTACTCTTTTAGACTGATTCAATCTCATGTATCCTGGGTGGGCTTGAACTCAGAGAGATCCATCTGCCTCTTAATCCTGAGTCCTAGGATTAAAGGTGTGTGCCACCACCACCACCACCACCACCACCCACCACCACCACCACCACCACCTCCTCCTCCTCCTCCTCCTCCTCCTCCTAACTTCTGGCTGCCTGGGTTAAAGGTGTGTGCATGGCTTCTATGGCTTGTGGCTGACTTTGCTTTCTGAATCTTCAGGAAAGCCTTAATAAATCATAAATTTATCACCACAGTCAGGCCTGTGGGTATACACCTTTGATTCCCGTTTGATCAGAGGCAGAGGCAAACGGATCTCTGAGTTTGAGGTCAACCCGGCTGGTCTACAGAGTGAGTTCCAGGGCAGCCAGAGCTATGGGGTGTCTTGAAAAAAAGAAGGAGGGGGAAGAAAAAGAGGAGGAGAGAAGGAAGGGAGGGAGGGAGGGAGGCAGGGAGGGAGGCAGGGAGGGAGGCAGGGAGGGAGGCAGGGAGGGAGGCAGGGAGGGAGGCAGGGAGGGAGGCAGGGAGGGAGGCAGGGAGGGAGGGAGTAAGTAGACCAGGCTCTTCTGGAGCTGCCTGTGAGATTTTGGCATTTGAAGGCTCCTTCGTCTGGAGACTCAGCAGACCTAATAGCTCCTCTTTTACATTAGAGTAGTGGCACAGCTCTGACTATTCTGTAATTTCATGTACAAACTAGAGCCAGACTTTTCAGCCATTTAAATTGAAAGAAGGAAAATGAAGCTCACGTAGGAGTTACTGTACTTGCCTTCTTTCGCGCCCTCTGAATTGGTAGATGAGGTTCTGGAGAAGTAAGTTAGTAGAGGTTACATCTTCTTGGACAAATGACATACTGATTATTTTACCACAGTTTCCAGTTACAGTTTGTGGTGAGAGTTGGGATGGTGTGTGTGTGTGTGTGTCTGTGTGTTTGTGTGTGTGTGTGTGTGTGCGCGCGTGCGCACGTGCCTTCCAGTGTTAGACAAGCATTACATAGTGTTGGGGGAAGTCCTGTGTATTTGTCAATAAGGTACTGTTGAGCCTATAGGGAACCAAGATAGGAGGGACTAGGAGTCCAGGAGAACTCTGGGAAGGAGAAACACAGAGAATTCAAGATGTAACGCCATGGGGGTAGGAAGCCCGGAACTATTCTCCGGTAAGAGAAATACTTAGATTAACAATTATGGGGTAATTACTTAAGTCAGAGCTAGCCAGTAAGAAACAAACAAGGCCAACAGCTTCATAACTAATATAGCCTCCTGTGTGTTTATTTGGGACTGATGCGGATCTAGAACCAGGCTGGCGGAAAGGCTTCTCTCAAGAAAAGGCTTCTTGTAACAACATAGTACAATGAAAGGCATATAAGAGACAGGAGACACAGACACAGATACGTTTAAAGCTGGGGCAGAGGGTAGGTTGAGAAATGAGTCCTTGAAGAAAACAGTATTGGAGCTGACCAGGGGACTAGCTTTTAGTAAACATGTCGCTAACTATCTACATTTGGATAATGTATTGCTCAGAACCAATCTAGAGACCAGGAAGTGTTCACACAGCCTGGAATAGACACCTTTGAAGGAGTTTCAGTTCATTAGAATAAAACACACTAGTGACAGTAACTTTTGGGGTGTGGGGGAGGCATGTTAGGGAAGTACAATGAACAAAACAAAGCTTCAGGTAGAACAAAGAAATGATAAATCATCAGGGTCCGGTGTGACCTCCTGACATCTCACTGAAGTATGTTCATAAACGTTTTCCCTAAAATGCACAGAAAGACGTGCATTTTACACCACAGCCCCACAAAAACAGGCGTGCAAATGAAGCAGAGGCTTCCTCCTGCAGTACTCATTCTGACATGGGACCTGCATGCACTGTTCTTCCCCTGCACTTTAAAGTGTGTCCTTTAATCACTAAATCACACCTAGAGCTGGAAACCTACAGCAAAAAGAGTTTCCGCACACAGGAAATCCCTTCCCCAGAGGAAAGGGAAATCGAAAAGAAGTCCAAATCGCCTCGACTGCTAACTCCTCCTGCCTCCCCTTGTGACCTCACACCCAGTCACAAGGCTGACCTGCCAAGAAGGAATTTGCACCTACCATGTGCCTACTCCCTTAGCATTCCAGTTTCCTCCAAGGCATTGTCCCCCCCCCCCCATCACAGTGATGTCACCAGCAGTTGATTTTAGGTACCAGGCTTGAAGCTTCTTCATATGAGCATAAACAAAGATTGCTATCAGAGATGACAAGACAAGAACTCTAGATCATCACCGAAATTTAGGTCCTCAGACAATACCTCATGGTTTTAAATTGATCAATTTTTTTTTTCTCTCAAAACTCAAATGTAGTAACCAGAGATTTACCTGGCATGTCTCTTCCTGGGCATTGAAGTCCAGTCCTTTTCCAGGGCCAAGAGCGTCTTACCACTGATGAGGCTGATAAAGACAGAAGGGTCATTACTCATTGCTCACTGTTACTGTGGTCCCTGCATTGAGCTCACCAGTGTTAATGCCCTGTAACCACACCCATCTGAAAGGTAACCATTTAGCAATGGGCGAGCACACCTAGCAATCCTCCACGGACAGTGTCCGGCATGGACTGACCGAAGGAAAGGCTGGGAATTAAGCCAATCACAGACAGACAGACAAACATGCATTCCCTCTCATATTTGGGTCTTAGGTCCTAGGAAAAAGAAGTGGTCAAAAAGTAAAATTGCTACATCTAAACAAGATGCTAATAGTCTGAGTTAGGTGGGAAATGGCCGGAGAAAAGCATCAGTAGCATTGATGATGATGATGCAAGTGGAAAAAGTTATATGGACTGATTAGATATTCAAAGTAAGACCGAGATGGATAAAAGTCTTTGGATCTCAACTTATGCTCTCTTATTTTACCCAAACCCACTATTTGTAGTCCCTCCCCCAAGAATGGGAGGTTGGAATGGTGGTTTGTTTTGTTTTGTTTCTCCAGGGAGTGCATAACTAATCTTTTAACTGAGACCGCAATAGAGGGATTTCTGGACAACAAAACTCTGCTCCACCAGCAGGTTTGAACCTGCCCAAGTACCAGCGTCCTCAGCGGGTACTCCGGAGACTTCCTGGTTAGACCCTGGCTCTCTCTGGTTTTGTTGGGGATAGAGGCTGTTCATATAAAGAGTATTATTGAAGCTAACAGAAAAGTGGGTCTGTTTAAACCACACCCACTCCCACCGGCAGCGGTATCCCAGGAAGCAGCCTGGGGTGAAGCTGCAACCCTGCCCAGGCCTGGTGTCCACACTGAGGATCCTCTCAGGGGTATGGGAGTCTCCCTGAACCGGGTCTGAACGTGGCCTGTGCGGGTTTGTCCTAGGACCTCACAAGTCCTTAATCGGATCTAACTGTTCTCCCCCTGAATCGGATCTAACTGTTCTCCCCCTGATGTCAAAGATTAAAACGGTTAAGTAGCCCCGGCTCTTTATAAAATTTCTGCTCGTCCACCTGGACTGTGAGGGGAAGAAGGAAACTCTCTTAGGACTGGCTCCACCTGCTTCCAGCGTTCTCAGTAATCGCGGGGTCAGATTTGGAAAAGCCGGGTTACATGTTTTGCTCAAAGGGCAGGGGTGTGGCTCGGTTGGGGCGCCAGGGTCGGGGTGTTGTTAAGTGACTTCTGGTAACTTGTGGGACTGTTGGATTCTGCGGCGGGGCTGGCAGTGGGGAGCAGACCGAAGTCCAGGTGGTTTCCTCGGGTTTGGGCCGTAGCTGCCCTGAAGGGGCTGCAGAGATCCCAGAGACCCTGCGACCTGGGACGCCCGAGGGAAGACTGGGAGCCCTGTGCCAGAGCCCAGCGGCCTAGCAGTGGCTCCCCAGGCTCGCATCACCCCCACCCCTACCCCGCGCTGCACCTCTCCAGTGCAATTTTGACCGCTGTGTCCCCAGCTGGCAGCCTAAGGCCACGGCCGGAGAGAGCAGAGGCCCGAGGTGGGGGGGGGGGGCAGCGTGGAGCTGTGTCATTTCCACCAACTGGGCTCTTTCGTGACCCAGCCGCTCATCTGTCACCGCTGTCTCGTTCCTGTTATTTACATCTGTCTTTAGCATTCTAATTACTCGCTTTATTACTTTAGCCTGGAGGAATCCTGTAAAAAACAACGGAGATGAGGATCCTAACCACACAATAAAACTGCCCAAAATCCCCACTGCACATTATACAGAGCACTTGAGAATATTTGTGCTGTTATATGACCTCAATATGTCCTTAAATTGATCTTATTATATCTTTCTTTCTCCCTTCTCCTTCTCGGTTGTGTGTGTAATGAACTCTTTTAAGGCGTGGACGTGCGAGAGGAGACGCTGTTTCAGAAATGATGAGGAAGATTATTCTTTGAGAGGGAGGGAAAGGAGGTAGGGCCGGAAGACCAGCAGGGCTGCGCCCCTCCCCCACTCCCTAAACTATTGGTTTCATTTCCACCCTGCTAGAGCAAAACCATCCTCACACCCAACCTCCCGAGCTGGGGGAAATCTCAGAAATTTAGAGGGGAGAATAAAACCCCCGATGTCTTTCATTATCTACATTAATCTCCAAGTCCTGGGGAGGTCTCCAAAGGGGGAATGGATTTAGAGTAGAAATAGAAGAAGGATTCAGAAATTATGGGGTTTAATTTTTTTTAAGTAAGAATTGGAGGGGAGCTGTAACTAAACCCCTGGTAGCAAGATTCACTGATAAAGTCAAGCCCGGCATCAAAAGGAGGCAGAGACAACCCCCCTGAAGATCCAAGGCAGGACTGCCGTGCTCTAACTGTTATTTATTCTTGCCAGTGGAATTATTGTTGCACTCAGTTGCAATTTTCAGCCTGTGCTAATGGTTTTCTTTATTGTGTTACACTAACATAATCTCCTCCTGAAAGAAAATGACAAAATATATGGATTTTTAGATGAATAACTGAGATAATTTATTGGCCTTTATGCTCTTCTGATGGGTGTTTGATAGATAATGTAATAACATGTACATAATTAAGCGGGTTTGCTGTACCTCAGTCAAAATAGGTTCAAGGGCACCGTTTCTGTCTTGAGGCCTAGAGTTTTCTCAATGGACATTTACTTCCTGCACTGTGGAATGAAGAGGCGTATCTCCAGAAGAAAATGGGTGCTAAATAGGGGTGGAGCTGTGAAGGAATAAAGTACATGAGTTCTCTGCAAGTGACACTAGGTCAGGGCCCATTTAATGTTCTTTCTCCTTCTAAGGAAGCCCAGCAAAATTAATTGAGAAGAGCATTCAAGAGTCTTCCTGGAGAGGGAAATAATAACCCTCGAGTCAGGGAGTGGGCCTTGGAAACCACCGTGCAGGGCACAGATGCTGTCATGGGAGCTGGAAGTCTTATAGGAAATCACTGATTGTGAACTTGGTCACCAAATGCCCCTTAGCCCTGGTTACTGGAGGTTGCCCATTCAAGGCATGGTGTGCTTGCTCTTCCAAACTCATCTAAATTACATCAATAACAGAGCGCACTCTTTAATGAGCTCTCAACTTTAAAGACTTGAAGGATATTAACAAGCCGCTTGACAAATGGTGCTTAGAAGCACATTAAAGACGCTGCTAATGGAGCGCATAATGACGGCTAATTTTCGATCAGATATAAATTAGAGCCCCAACAGTTATTTGCCTTAAGGACTTTATGTAAATGATTCTGTTCTGTATAAACTGAAAAGCGAAGAGAGCCCTGCCATTTTAGCAATCCTTGTGGTTATGATTAATACATCTACAAAAGCACCAGGCAGAGACAACTGATGGCATTTCCATCCAAAAGTCAGAGTATTTGAGTAGTAAATAGAATACTGCATCCATGTGTGTGTCTTCAAGGGAAGGTATAAAAGTGTCCTTGACTCCGCCTTCAACTGAGCTAAATAAAGAGCCTCTCAGACCGAGAATATCTTGATCAGTCTATTTTTTGACCAACACCTTACACCCAAGGCCCAAGAGAGCCACACTCAAAGCCTGGAACTCAAACTCTGCTTAGCATTCTTTCCAACTGAATGTCATCCTCAAAACTGAGATCTAAGCCCTCATGCACCACTTTTTAGGGTCCTGTGAAACTGCTTGAGACCATGTTCCCTAGTGAGTTCCCATGCAATTCACATTCTGCAAAAGTGTGCTGGGAAGGAGAAAGCACTGGGCAAAAGAGAAAGGGAAAGATGGAGACATGCCAGTGGGGTCAAGGAGGAGGGAAAAGAATCTGCGAGCAATGCGCGTGCGTGGAAGGCGGGACGAAATCTGCTGCTCAGCTGTCGGGAGGAGACCTTAGGGTTCTGAGTGTTTCCACGCTTCTTGTTGGGCTTTTCTGCACCCACGCCGTTATAAAAAGCTGCATCTTCAGGAGCCACCATGCATGAAATGCTGTGAGACCTGACTCAGCGCCTGGTCCCTCATAACCTGCTCCAGCTCTGATAGCCAACCGGAAGCCAGGAGGAAAAGGCGACCTAAGAAGGCCTTACCTCTGAGCTTCCGCCGGGGCCATCATCTTTGGGAAGAAGGTTGCTCTAAACCTAAACCTGGGATTTTGTGACACTGAGCATCTGGCTTCAGTTTACTACCCTCTCCTGGAGAAGACAAAACACTTCAGATAAATAAATCTGCAAAACCTGAAAAGCAAGCCCTCTCTGCCTTGTCAACAGCCTGTTGATTGCGAATGATAAACAAAAGCCCAGCCTTGCTGTTGCTGGGAAGCCAAACAGTATTGCATCTCGGTGTGGATTCTCTCTCTATCTTCTTAATGCAAGAGTCAATGAAGACTTGGGTGGGACCGTGTTTCTAGGCAACTCGAAAGTGATGAAGAAACCCTTTCTCAATAAGTGAGATGTTTCCACCAGTGGCACAGGCTTTAGGATTTCCTCATCCATTTGAGGGGAGAGGGGAGAGGAGGAGGAGAGGAAGGTGGAAAGGTGTGGGGGTCAGGCATCAAAGAGACTTCTTCAGACCCGATTAAACCATTTTGTCTTGCAGTAGCAGATCTAATGGCCATGGGGAAGCTTCTAAATGGCCATGAGGAAGCTTCGATCCTTCCATCGTTACTAAGTCACGAAACAGCTTCAGATTGAAGCACAATAAATATGATTGTTCTGAGTTTCTATGAAATCTGTCTGCTCTCCCTTCCAAACCTCTTCCCAATTACAACTATCCCTCCTGATGAAAGGACATGGGGAAAACATCTGGACATTCCTTCCACCCCCATTTCTTAAATTACTAAGCCTTTAGCAGTGGAAGAGGCCTCCAGCTCCCCTCTGCCTTGGGTCATCTTATATTCTGATGTCAAAATCGTACAGGAAAACTCTGGTTTTTAAAAAGAAAAAGTTAAAAGTTATTTAAATCACAATGTAAATAACAAAAGCCATAGAAACCTGGTCTCACCTGGTTTCGAGAAGAAAGGTGTCCTGAGTTTCTCCAGACTAGGAAGTGGCTGCTACCACATTTCAAACCAGGAAGCTTTCACTCCCTCCCACCAGCTACTGTTAATGGGCCATCATGTTGGAGAATATGCTAAATTTTTGTTTTGTTTTACTAGCTCTTGTAGACCAGGCTGGTCTCCAACTCACCGAGATCCTGCCTCTGCCTCCTGAGTGCTGGAATTAAAGGTGTGTACCACCACCGCCCAGCTACTCCAACTTTCTTTACAACAACTAAACACTTATTACCAAAACTAACACAACTTATGGGGACACACTTTTGGCTCCTCTTCTGAGAACACTTGATGAAATGGCAGTGCTCTGTTTTATTATGACCCTCTTTCCTTGTAGTTCATCCACATTATAATAGGGAAGCCAGGGAGGAGGTGTAAGTGTCGGTTTTTCTTATGCTTTGTTTTTTCACATTTACCCCACTCCTTTGGGGAAAACAGAGCTCCCCCTACCGTTCCTCCTCACACACTCCCTCTTTTTCTTATCCATCTCAAAACTCTGAGTGAATCCTAGGGGAACAATGGATTCCTGAAAAAAGAAAAGCAGTATGGGGGTGGGGGATAATCAATTAAATGACTTAAGAAATGGAAGGAGAAGGAGGAGGAGGAGGGGGAGAGGGAGGAGGAGGAGGAGGAGGGGGAAGAGGAGGATTAGGAATAGGTTGCTCCAACAATGTTGTGATTAAAACCTCTCGCTCAGGGCTGCAAGATGAAGAAGTAATGAGAGAAAATCCAAGTTCCCAACCAATTGGCTCCTAGCTCCTGAGGGGCACCCTTGAGAACACATCACCGGGTCCTCCCAAACTATTCTTCTCCCAGATGGAATCAAATCTCCTAGCTTCCCAGGCAGAAGTCAGCTTCTCTTACCCTTGCAGATCCCAGCCTGTTGGTGAGGGGACAAGTCGTTGCCTGCATCCTGGTACCAGGTGAAGAGGGGCTCATCTTCATAAAGCGACCATTAGTAAGACTCTGGAATGCAGCACACGAGACCAAAGGCAACAAGTTAGCTGGCCTACCCTCCTTGGCAGCCGACACAGAGTTGAGGAGACCCTGGCTCCTGAAGCTCCGAACCTGTACTCTGAAAAGAACTCTTGAGCTAATTGAGATCCCTCATTCCTACTAATCACAGTTCCAGTATTCAAAGGGGGCAGGGATGTTTCCCACTTGTGGAGTTAAAGTGTTGCCACCTGAACAACTCATTGGCTTCCGAATGTGGGCAAGGGCCTCTGTAACAAATAAAAGGTGGAAGCCTGGCAGGCACATTGGGGAAGGCGAGGTAGTGAAAATGCAACAATAGATATGAGTCTGCAGTGTATTCCTGAGAGAAGTATCTTGATTAGAAGAGATTCTGCATGATTTCACAGAGCAGGTTGGTGGTGGTGGTGGTGGGTGCTCTCTGTATGTCTGTGTGTGATGTCATGGAGATCCTTGTACACGGGTGTATGCCCGTATGACCTAGGTGAGCATTTCGTATGGAAATAAGACGTAGAGGCATTTAGGATCTGAATGCCTCAAGTATATAACCTCAAGTCAAGCCTGCAAACGTTGTGATGTGCTTTGTCCCTTCTGCACACCATAAAATGTGCATCCTACTTCTACTTCTTGTAAAGTGGTTTGGCTCTAGCAAACTCTTTACAACCCACGGCTGTATGGGTTGTGTGGGGGTTGATTAATCACCACCATGGAAGATTCACTCCATTCCCATCCCTGTGTAGCTTAGCTATTCAGAGCTCCTGGGGCTGATAACTAGGAAAGCCAGGAGCCAGGACTGGAGCTGGAAAGATGCATATTCCGGACAAATATCAAGAAAACTTACCCCTACTTCCCAGGCTCTGAGTTGCTGCTAAATTTGAGCATAAGGCAGTCAGTTTAATTGCAAAAGGACCCCCCCCACTTCTATTAGCTCCATGCTAGGCCAACAAGTTTTCAAACCAGGTGTGGTAGCCAACTAGGGATGTAGGATAGTGAAGCCTGGTGGTATCACCAGCCTTCCCTCTCCCGGCGAACGAGAATTCCAAGCCTCCTCGTCAAGATCTTCCAAGAACACAAACTGTGCTGTGAGAGAAGCCCACAGTGGGTGTGTTGATTTACAGTTTTAAGCCATTTAATAATTTACAAATGCATTTCATTTCAAGCCTGGAGAGGGGAATTGGAATCTGGTAGTCACTTCAGAAGCCCCGAGTTGGCTTCTTTCAAAAACATCGGTTCTCATCGTACTATATCTCTCATTATCTTTCCTTCAGATCCTTTAGGAAGACCTGCAAATGACACGAGCATACCAATGCCCTTGCTAATAACGCCCAAAACAAAACTGCTCACCAATATACCCAAATAAGACTTGGGGTCCATTCCAAGGGTCAGAAAACTGGAAAAGTTTATGGATAAAAAGAAGTATGGTACTGATAAAAATAATGACAGAAAATTTAAGGGTGTGACGCAGACCCTGGGGAAGAGTGAAGGGACACTGTCTCTCTCCGCTACAGCCAAGTGGGGGGAGGGAGCTTATTCTTGCCAAGTGACAGGTGGAGTAATGGCTGAGGACCCAGTGAGGAATGAGGGCGGGTGAGGCTGGGCAGGGGTGGGGAGCAGTAATTACTAGCCGAGCTCACCCGCCTCCCTACTTTACAAGGACCCGGGCTCTTCCTGCGCATCCAGCTGCGCACCAGGGATTGCTGCTTTGCTGCTCGGCCTCCGGGCATCCCAGAGACTGAATGGGGGTGGGGTACAGGCTGGTGGACATTCCTAAAAGACTTCTGGACTAGCACCTCCTCCAAGGCACCGTCCCTGCAGAGTGGCAAAGCAGCGAAGGAGAGCAGCAAAGTCCATTCCATGCGTCCTTACCCAATAGCCTCCAACCACCAAGGAAGAGCGAAGGATTTGACAAAATCGAGGATCAGAGGGAGGTGCAGTAGAAGAGCGGGTGTCTCTGCAGAGGCCTGACACCCGACCACTAAGGCGGGTCTCAACCTGTTCCCACCACCTCCCCTCCCCGCCCACAAAAGTGTGAATCCCCGAGAGACCAAGCATAAGCGCCCATGGGACCCCAGAACCCAGAAGTTAAGTGTCCACCCAGGGGTCGTTTGGAAGGGGCGGAGAGGAAGGAGTGGGGTGGGAATGAGGGTGGGCATCCCCTCCCGCCGCCTCCCTCTGGCAGGCTGGAAGCCTCACAGAGTCTGGGATTTTTTTTTTTCAGAATAATTGATGGGTCCAGTTCTCCAGAGCTTTCCCAGGGAGAGCAAGGCAGACCGCGCTAGAATTTAAATAGACGTGATTAGTAAAATGCAACGGAGCTAGGATCGGGGCTCTCTTTCTGGCTGCTTTCTGGCTGTGCGCCTGGCAAGGCTACCCAGGACTCTAGGGGTTTGCCCAGAGCCCAGGAAGGCTCCCAAGCCACCGCAGGGCGCCTCTGCTTGCTGTCCCCCCACCGTTCCCAACCGCCTGTCACCGCGCACCCCCTGACCCCCGCAATGAAGAGAGGGGTTAGGGCCAGCAGAAAACCCAAGGCCAGCAGGTGCACACCGTAGGTGTCCCGCCCGCAGGGTGAGGCGAGAATATTGATTCCTCAGCACCCAAGCTGAAAGAAAAGGAAGCCTCCTGGTGGTGGTGGTTCCCCGGGTCTCGCTTCTTACTTCTCCCTTTTACCTCTGTCCTGGCCGGCGGACCTCGCTGGATTCAGGCGGCTGATCCCGGAACTTAGGGTGTCTTTTCACTTACTGACGCTCTGAAAGGTCCCCTTCTCAAAGAAGTGACCCACGCTGGGGGAAATCTCGCCTTCATCCTCTCCCACATCCCTAGCTCATCGATTTGTTCCTGCAAAGGGGGCTGTGCATTTTTATAACATCTACAGCCAATTAATATTGCATCAACTCTATTTTTTAAAACACACACACACACACACACACACACACACAAAAGCTCTGGAATAGTGCACCCTATGAAAGCCATCTATTATTCACGGAAATGTAATTGGAGACCCAAGATAATGTGTGTTCCGGGGCAATGGAGGAAAACAGAGTCGTGACAATATTTCAGAAAGGAAGGGGATCCGAGGGTATCTAATATTTAATTTCAAGTCTGTGGTTTTATAATTCGAGATTAAAAGCAGTCACGTCTTTGAAGCTAGACAGTTGGTATAAATGTACAGTTAAAATATTCTATTCCACGGTCCCTCGACAGAGCTCTCGACTCGTCCCAGGCTTCATTAAATTTTTATTATCATCCCAGACTAGAGCAGGGAATGAGCGGAAAGACCGTCCATCTAATTGCAATTGATAAAAAGAGAGAGCAAGAGAGCACTCTTAGATTTCCCCCTCATTTTAATACATTAACAGCAGTTTTCTTCAAATGTCCAGGCTCTCCCAGACCTGTGATACACACAACCACATTATCACACGGATTCGTTTTCCCCTTTCCAACAGGCACCAGGCTTTGCCCTTCTTCCTGCCCTTTGGAGAGCCTAGGGGCTTGGGGGGGGGGGCTGGATTCAGAAACTGATGCTAAATAAAAAACAAGTGACATCAGTTCTTGAAGCATCCGGTGAAGAGAGAGGGGGAGAAGCTGCGTCTTCCTGTAGCAAGATGAAAGCGTATTGTTACCCAAACAAACAGATTATCATACCTGAGTTGCACTTTTCAACAGCCCTTCCTCTGTGGGGATGAAAGCAAAGAGTAATGTTTTATTTTATCTTTCTTTCTGACTGCTGCCTCCTCCCAGCACAGGGAGAGGGGGAGAAAGAGGCTACCCTCTTGTGCTGTTAATCTGACTGTCAGAAGGGTGCTGTGGCACTTGTATGGTGTTTTCCAGGAGCCAAGGCTAAAGGAGGATGCTTTAAATTTTTTTTTCTTTGAAACTGGTGTAAATAAACCTTTTCATCTCCAGGCACAGAAAGCACAGAAAACCCACAGCCTGCTTTCCGAGCAGCTTCCTATTATCACATTGCCACTTAATTTTATTTCTATTCTCTCCAAGTTAAATAGAAAGACTGGCTCACAGGGGAGCTGCCATGTGCCTACAGAGTGAGGATGTCAAGCAGAGAGACTTGCCGAGCAAAGTTAATTTCAATTCCCGGGGAGGATTTCACATTCTGGCTGGCTCTGACCCACAGTAATTAGCTGAGATAACTAATGATTACTTACTTATTCCTTGTAATTATCTGGATTTAATAATTCGCTGTGTAATTTATTAATTCTCTCATAATAGACCTTCAGTACTGGGAATGACTTTTTTAAAGGGGCAAAGCAGGGAAATTTTAGCAATATTTTTCTCAATGCTATAAATCTGTCTCCTGACAAATGTGCATTTCAGAGACATCACAGCCAAGCAGAAATCTTTGTCCCCCCTTTGTACCATTTCTTTGTCCCCCCCTTGTACCATTGGAACAGCCATCCTCCTTCTGCATTCTGTAGCAGGCCCTCCCTTCCTATAGAGTGAAGTTTAGAGTTCTAATATGAATTCTTTGCCTAGAACTAGACGACACTTGGTCAAATAATTACAGGAACAAGCTCCTGCACCTACTATCGTGACCTGCCCAGAAGGAGTGGCACTCATCCTCTAAGTAGAACGCTTTATAAAATAGAGTGAGTTTTGATTTGGTTTTTCTGTGTTTTTATTTTTTGTTTTGTTTTGTTTTGGTCCTTCCGTGCTGTTATCATGCTCTTAAGGACTGTACCAAAACATAAAAATTAATTGATGCACCTGAAATTTGAAATAAAGCATTTTACCTTACTGCACCTCAGTTTAGTTATCTGGACAAAAAGAAATCACAAGAACTGTACTTGACAGCAAAAAAAAAAAAAAAAAAAAACCAAAACAAAAAAAAACAAGTCAGAAACCTATATACTATTATTTATTTTTATTTTAAATGCAACTTTATTATTATTATTATTATTATTATTTGCTTCATTTTGTTTTGTAGTAGGGTTTTCTGCTGTAACTCAGGCTGACCTGGAATTCACTGAGTAGCCAGGATGGCCTCAAGCTTACAGTAGTACTCCTGCCTCAGCTCCCCAAATGAGGAGATTTTAGTGCCAACCATAGTACCTCTTGTTTGATTCCACATCCATTTTACATAAGTGAGAGAGTACTTTCTCAATTTTAATTACTTCATTCAACTCTT